CTCCTTTGATGGCGAAGCCAGGTTACTGAGGCAATGCAGCGCCCTCTAGCCAACCTAGGGCCGTGTACATAGTTCCCGTCCACCTTCTGACGGTGTCTGCCTCCGCGCACAAAAAATGAGATGGGCATCGCTGCCTACGCCGACGGCCAGAGGCCCGCGCATCTACATTTTTTCGCCTGACTGCCATATACAGGGAGTATTTCCCGTTTTTCTCATATGGGTTTTTCCGGTGATGCGCCAGTATGTGTGATGCTTGCACGCTAGCGGCGTCTTTGCCGCAGACATCCTACTGCTGCAACCCGCTACTTGTAACGGGGCTCTCCATTGCTCGGGGTGTACGGGAACGAGTGGGTGCTGCCCAGGAGTCAAAAGCGTTCCTCTTGATGCGCAGATGTGTTTTGCGTTTCCTGCGAACGCTGTTGCTNTGCTTGCACGCTAGCGGCGTCTTTGCCGCAGACATCCTACTGCTGCAACCCGCTACTTGTAATGGGGCTCTTCATTGCTCGGGGTGTACGGGAACGCGGGGGTGTTGCCCAGGAGTCAAAAGTGTTCCTCTTGATGCGCAGATGTGTTTTGCGTTTCCTGCGAACGCTGTTGCTTCGGAATGCCTGGCTCTCGTGGGTATTGTTATGGGTTGTTAGGCCACTTGTTACGCTGTCTCCTTTTGGGCTGTCCCTTTTCTCAAAAAGGGACAACTGACCAAAAATCACTTGTTACGTGGTCTTTTTTCGCGTTTTTGAACCTCCCGAAAAGGGACAGCGAAAAAAGATCACCCCATCCTGTCCCTTTTTGGGCAGCTTTGTCCCTTTTTGAGAAAAGGGACAGCCCAAAAAGAGACAGCTTAACAAGTGGCCTTAGTTTATCCTAACAAGGACTCTCGACTCCGGTGAGAGACGAAGGAGGTAGGCAGACGTCGNAGGACTCTCGACTCCGGTGAGAGACGAAGGAGGCAGACAGACGCCATCGCCACGTCCTGTTGCTGGGTGTGCTTCGCCGGCCCTTTCTAGTTGCTGTCTGAGGAGGTGTGGTCGCAGGTAGCAGACGATTTGACCGGAACATGAAGTATCAATTAACAGGAATCGAGCTTCCTTGCTGTGGAGGATCCATACTCCCTCCCTGCCTCCAAAACATTCCGGACCGTTAATTTACCCAAAAACATTTTTTTCGCCCCGATGGATGATCAACAATTGTTTTGATGCCAACGGTCGTGGCGTGCGAAGTATGACTGGGTGGCNGTTGTTAGTTTATCCAAACAAGGACTCTCGACTCCGGTGAGAGACGAAGGAGGCAGACAGACGCCATCGCCACGTCCTGTTGCTGGGTGTGCTTCGCCGGCCCTTTCTAGTTGCTGTCTGAGGAGGTGTGGTCGCAGGTAGCAGACGATTTGACCGGAACATGAAGTATCAATTAACAGGAATCGAGCTTCCTTGCTGTGGAGGATCCATACTCCCTCCCTGCCTCCAAAACATTCCGGACCGTTAATTTACCCAAAAACATTTTTTTCGCCCCGATGGATGATCAACAATTGTTTTGATGCCAACGGTCGTGGCGTGCGAAGTATGACTGGGTGGCTTACAAGGGCTTCCGTCGAATTTTATGTGTCGCAGTCCACGAATACCTGGCGTTCACACTAACGCCCTACCTTCACGACAGGTGTTTGTGCGGGGGGGTCTGCTCCTGTGGGTCGGGGACGGGCCAGGTCGGGCCAAAGTGCTCGGCTCCAGAGCATGCAACAACTTCTCGAGGTTCCCGTGTCCGTACTGCATGGTTGAGCAACGCAACATTACCGGGGGGGACCTGCGAGATGCCGAGTACGACATCGAAGCAAATCGACGTACTTGGGGCCAGATCACGGCCAGGTTTGATACGCTAAAGTCCCTCGCAGACAACCCCGTCGAGCAGTCTCAACAATCGATGGTACTGGGGCTTGTCACAGACTCCACCGGCCCCTCCTTGCCCATGTACGACTCAATGCTCACCGCCCCCACCGCGATTGTCTCTGTGGAGCGGCTGCACTTCGATGCCCTGGTGAGAGTTTTTTATCGAATGCAGAACGGACACGGTTAGCGCAATGTTTGCCGTGCCGGAAATAGGTAACCTCGTTTAAATACCCCAATGTCCGTTCGCGATTGATGTAGGAATCTCCGGGTGTTTGTTGCCAGGGCGTTGGTCGTGTCTCCCTCGAGGAGTTGGGCCTCCAATGGCGACACGGTTGATCGTGTCTTTCAAACGATAAATACAACGCACGAACCGTGTGTGTTATTTTTGTTTTGCAGGGGTCCTGCCAGCTGTGCCAACTTTCCTGCCTCGAGATGTTAACCCAGGGTCGACGGCTGGTCTCGGCGGTCGTGCCTCAGAACCCTTTTCTGCTTTACCCAGCTGGCATGGAGCGTCTCAAGGATATCGTGTCCAACTACTCGTCTCTAACTGGGAGCGACTAGTGGACACTTCAGTCCATCATGCTGCTCGCCTTCCGACCGATTCTTGCAAATGTCGGAGCCATGGTGAGGTTTTTCACATTAGCGCCCGGAGGGGGGGGAGACCTCTTCTTTGTGTTGGTCGTACCGTATGAATAGGAGAGTACGTACACGACATGATAGTTGCTGATGGTCCCTCTTACGAAAAAGATACAGATATATGAACGTGACTGGGCTGGACGAAATAGGAGGAAGGTACAGAGACATGTTTGAGGCATGGAATTTAGTACGAGAGACGGTAGCTATGCTGGGGCACAGGAATGGGGCTGACAAGGCGGGAAGTGATGTTGATGGGATTGTGAACCACATTCGGCAAGTAAGCAGGAACGATTCGCCATCGGTGATCGGTCCTCCCGAGTAACCGTGGTCAATTAATAGTCTAGCAGTAACACCTAGGGCGTGCGAGACAGGGGGACGCCGCCCCTCCCATTCCGCGGCATTGGTAAAGCTTGAGGCACGGCACCCACAGTCCTCCTCTGCTGGCACCCTGCAAGCACGGGGCGACATGTGCAACCCGGCACCTCTCCACCCTATCCTCGAAGCGACGTACAATATCCGTATTAACCCCAACTCCGAACCCATTCCTGTGGCGATTTGTCGACGAAACCTGCACCCTCGCAGAAGGAGTACATGNTGCACCCTCGCAGAAGAAGTACATGAAGAGGCAGGACATCGCCGAATTGAAAGACATTTGGGGGACAGACGAGAAGGTGCTCGAGGTGCTTCAGAAGCTGATACAGGTGGCGTCACACCTGTCATGCGCTGTGCGTGCGCCTTCTCACAACGATCTGGAGCTAGCCCAACTCGACCTTCTCGCGCGTGACGTGGTAAGTCTTTCTGACCTCTATTATTCCTGCACGGGCATTGGTGTGCATGGTTTTGAGCGGCATACAACAGATTGGGGTGCTTGCGTCACTGCGGTCTCCTTTTACCCCATCCTGCATTGGGCTTTGATTTCTTTGGGGGTGCACACACCAATAGGAATGATTGCCGTGCTCTGCGATCCAATATCGTTGGAAAGCGTGTTCCTAATAACATGCCGGTGCCCATGGCACCTCTCTCACACACACCCTAAAAAAAAACGGCGATGCACGAAAGAGCCTCAAAACGCACCCGGGTGATCGTTTTTAACAGGGTTTTCGCCTGACTGAGAGCGGAGTATACGATTGAGAGCGGGAGCCAAAAAATTTGAAATTTCGGGTCCAGACGCCTCTTGCCATTTCTTGGGAAGTAGGGGGCGGGCTCTTCCAAGAAGCGGCGCAAATTGAAGGTCTCATCAGCAGCCTCACGAGCATATGCGTGTCATCGCGATCGGATGCTGCAGCTAGGAGCTAGACAAATTGCTAGATTTCCCCAGATTGGCTATTCCTGCCTCAAACTGTTTCAGGGCGATTTGATCGCGGGCGGTGAGCTCTGCTGTAGATTTTGCTCCCCGTTGTAGCTCCACAACGAGAGACGCCCACAGGATGACCAGGGTATCGGCTTGTAGCTACGGGCTAGGCTTTCAATGCAAGTCACGCAGCAAGCTCCACCTCTCAGCGGTAGTCCAGCTACAGCGCATCGCGCAATCTCGCTCTCAATCAGAAACTTCGCTCTCAATCACACGAAAACCTTGTTTTTTGTTGTCACCCCTACCAGCGAAAAACACGTCGGCGCTTGCTTTATTCGTCTTGCTCTTGGGTAGTCGCCAATGGATCCTTCTTCCGCGACCTGCAAATCGACGCATTCCCGCGAAGTGTTTCATATGGTGCCACTTCTGCTACCGCTGTTGCTACTATTCGCCGTCGTTGCAGCCGTTAGAAAGGCCAGGCATCGTGCGTTCCAGCGATAGGCCCACGGGTAAGTGTGTTTTTTTGCGTGTCCGAGGGCGGCCCAATAGACGAATGAGACGCAGCTCTACTGACGCTGCACTCCGGGTTATTCTTTAGCTTGTTTTCTTCGCCCGTCTACATTTTGAAACGCCCGAACTCCTCTCACCCAAGAACACGGCTTTTCACATTTAATTTTACTTGAACGTTGCAAAGTATCAATTTAAGCTAATATCTTCGAATAATATTTTGTTCTTATACCACTCTGCGTGTTAAAATTGTGATTCTTCTTCCGCCCTGTCCAGGTCGGCTTCTACCCCAAGGTCATGTGGAGGACTGGTTCGAGGCCTACCATCCACTCTGTCCTGCACACCTCACAGGCCATCCGAGCACTTGGTCAGGCCGGTTGAACGCCTTACCTTGGCTGAGCCCAACTTGGCCATTGGGAGGGGTTAGGATGGTTTTTAGGATGCGGTTACGACCCTTCTGGGCAAAAGACCTGGGATCACAGGCATCGTTGAAATGTTTTAGTTGCTCACCCTGTGTCTCGACAATTCTTTCGAAGCAGGGTGATGAGGTTAAAGCAAGTGGCGATAGTCGAGGTTATACCGCCGAGACGCCTTTAAGTTTTCGGCTCTGGCATCGAAAACGTCCAATCAAGTTTGAGCGGGAGGACGAATAAATTTTTGAACCGGTATAGCACAGCTCCGACTGTCACTGCAGTGCTCCTCGAGGTATGAGGGTGACCCCGAAACATGCCTCGCCTGTAGTTTGTTGCATTTGAACGCCAGTTTTCTGGCAGCAGTTTATTATTAGTGCACGGCGTTTAGAAAGTCACCTACATGGTTGCTAGGTATCGTAAGCTAATTGTCGACCAAACCTCCCCCTGCCGCCTACAGGATTTGTCCCGGATGCAAGCCCAGGGGAATTCGCCCACCAGAAAAACAAGTCCAGCAACATTTGGGAAATTTAGCAACTTGTCTAGCTCCTAGCTGCAGCATCCGATCGCGATGACACGCATATGCTCGTGACGCTGCTGATGAGACCTTCAATTCGCGCCGCTTCTTGGAAGAGCCCGCCCCCTACTTCCCAAGAAATGGCAAGAGGCGTCTGGACCCGAAATTTCAAATTTTTTGGCTCCCGCTCTCAATTGTATACTCCGCTCTCAATCAGGCGAAGACCCTGTTAAAATTTGTGAATTTTGACGCACCGGACTCTTGTATTTCGAAGTATTGGATTATTATTGGCAACAAACTCAAAAAAAGGCAATATAACAGCTCAAAGCATGCTGTCGTCAAAATGTACGCGTCATTAGGTCTTCTGCCAAATAAGCATGTATAAAAAGGCATAGACTGGTTTGGTGTGTTGTTGATGTAATCGGTGTGAAGGTACTTAACGGTATATCGGGCGTGGTGCAGTGTGCGGATCCGGTTCGGGTCGACTCGCTCCTCTCGAAGGCATTTGACGGAGTGTCCGGCGTGGTGCAGTGTGCGGCCACAGTGCGGATAAACCTGCATGTACTCAAAAGGCAGTTCATGCGCAAGCTATGTGATGTCCGCCCCTGTCGAGGAAATCGCTTTTGTGCACTGCTGGTGTGCCTCTCTTCGCTCATAGACACTTGTTTTTTTTGGGACAAGCGGAATATTTGTTCGAATGCGCAGCAAGTGCATATTCCCCCTCGATACCCCTTGCTCCACCCAAACTGTCGTACAGTACTCCAGGCCACACACCCATCTACTCGCCTTGGGCAATGGACGTCTGTCTGTCATCCAACAGAGTGTCGTAAGCAACTAACTCCCCTACCCCTCACGTCAACCGGAACTGTCGCCGGTGCTGTTTGTCGCGTGTCGGCGAGAGCGTTGACGGCATCAATGCGCGGTTGGAAAGCCTCCTGCAAGAGTTGCCTCGCTAACTCTCTGACCTGAAAGATATCGTCTGGCTGTGTACCCCTGCCCCTGGGAGAAGAACCCTCTAGAAGGAATCCACACGTGCCAACCTTTCGAACCCTACCCCTCGCTGCACTCTGTGAACGGTCATACAAGCAGCGACTATTAAACGCCACTGCTGAACGATGTACGCGCCGCTGACCGCTACCCCCCGGCAGTAGGGCATCCACAAGCTTTTATCCTCAAAGAAGGCGGCTGTATTTTGACGGTGTTGTCCTTCTCTTTGCCCGTCGTAAGCTCAATCAACCTCGACTCACGCCGGGCGTTTCCAGCATAAGAGGAAGGCGCTCTTCCAGGCTAGGTTCTTCAGTACAGGCATCGTAGCGCTGATCATCAAAGATATCACCAAGAGCAGTCTCCGGGTTGACAACGGGCTGCGTCACAGAGCTCACGGCATCGAGAAGGGTAGAAAGAAAGCTCCTGGCGATGAGGTCCAAGAAGAGGAATAGCAGGAAACAACCGAGCAGCGATACATAGAGTTGGCTACGCATGAGCGTCGGCGGCAGCAAGAGGCGCCGGGCAGGAGAAGAAGAGTGTTGCCTGCTGGGGGGGAAGGCACTGCTGCTGTGGAGTGGTGCGGCAGACCGTTTAAAGTTGGAACAACCCCGTCCTCCCCCCCCCCCCCCCCCCCCCCCCCCCCCCCCC